ACTATTGTGGCCTCTCCCGTTGTGGAGCATAGGCTCCGGATGCACAGGCTCCCGACGCGCAGGCTCAGCGGCCATGGCTCACGGGCCCAACCGCTCCGCGGCATGTGGGATCTTCCTGGACTGGGGCACGAACCCGTGTCCCCTGCATCGCATCAGCAGGCGGACTCTCAACCACTGCGCCACCAGGGAAGCCCTAAAGGACGTATTTTAGAACAATACATTGAACAAACTTGCAGTATCAGTATTAGATCTTTCAAACGATATGGTGTGGTACTGTTTAAAAATAATTTAAAGCAATTGTGCAAGGCTGATTAGGAAGCAAACTCTCCTCAGCAAGGCCTTCCAACTCGAGCTTTTATGTTTTTTAATGTTTCATTTTTATTGACATTTTTTCCCTTGCAGGAAAAATGTGTGATTTTTACTAGCCTGGCAGGGGGTTGTGGTACCTCTTGCCAAAGTGTCAAGAAAACTACGAATTCTCTACACGAGGGACAAAGGCCAGATGTTTAGTTAAAACAACACATAGCGTTTATACAAATATAGGTAATGGAAACCAAGACCTTTACTGGGATTTCTTTTTTTTTCTCTGTTTTTGGCCAATCTTGTCTTTTGATATTTTTAAAATAAGCAAGCAGCCATCTTGTTTTTCTAACCTGAGCAGAAGAATTTAGTTTCTTACAAAGTGTGTGCTTTTTCAATACCTTGGGTTTTTTTGTTTTATCTTTGTTTTGAAGGATTCTGCTCCAAAATGTGGAATGTGTTCTTCAAATAATAATTTGCTTTAATAAAAAGAAAGTGTGAGACTTTGAATAGCTTAGGAAGGACCTAGCCTAATCCTTAGACTGACTTTTTCCACTATCCTGGCCACACCTTCACTGGGGAGGAAATCTGTCGCTTAAACCTACACGGATGTGGGTTCTGGAGGGTATTTAAAAAGACAACTGTTTCTCATCTCAAACAGAGGAATAAGGACAGATGGGTGACCAATAAAAATTAGCATCATCATTCAAATGAACCCTCCTAGATGCTCTTTCATCTCTGATGGAAAAAAATGAAAAGGGGGTGAATTGAAATACACGTATGAATGGGTTGTTGTTCGTTTATTTTTTTCTTCCTGATTGGGGGTCATGTGGCTTCTGTGCTCCTGTGGGCTCTTGGTGAGAGCTCCCACAAGGTCTGCAGGAGCCATGCAATTGCCTTGGTTCTGAGTAGAAGCTGGCCTGGCTCTGACCACACTTGCACTAACACACGGGCATTTGGACTTTATTCTTTTCTGTTACCAGTCCTTTGGCTTTGGCCATACTTCCTGCCTCTTTGCTCTAGGTCTGAGCTCATGTGAGTACCTCATACCAGTGGGCCCCTGGATTACACTGGCTGGACTTCATCACTGAGAAGGGGGTTACACTTCTCTTCAACACTGGTTTTATTGGACCCTCAAAGGGATGTGTCCATGACATAGCCAGGAATTACTGCATGGCAGTTTTGCTGGCTAAACTCAGTCAGGTCCATGACATATAAAATGCAACCAATTCTGAGCAAGCAAATAGAAAAGCCCTCGGCCAAATAGTTGTATTTGGAGGGGACACTTAAAAACATACTTTTAAACCTACAGTGACTTTGGGTATAAATTTAATTAAAGGAGAAGATTTTCTGGTAATCTTCTCATTGCAAAAGGTGAGATCTAGACAGAAAATTCTATACTTATGGAGGTTAAATGAACTAAATAAGTGTTAACCTAATCCTGTTAAATAACTGGATTTAATTCTAAACTGGGTTTTGTACCAGGTGAATTTAAGAAATCAGATATTTCCTTTTTGAGTACCTATAGTAAAGAAAATAGACAAAGCTAGGAAAGGTTTCAGAATATATTTAGATGCACAAGCAGGCATACCATCTCTAGGGACAATAGCCGATTATAAATACAGGCTTGAATGACCCGGAGCAGTTTAAGAATAGTGGGCTTTGGCTGATGGGCCCTGGTGGAGCCCCTTCTGATTTAATGATAGCAGTAGCCAATGATCCATGGTCTAGAAGCATCAATGTGGATCTTCCAATAAATACCTCCTCTGTCTGTGCCCCATTCCCCAACCTCTACGTCAAGAGCAGTAGAATCGCCCTTCCTATGTTTTCATATACTTTAGGCTGAAGTTTATTTAAATTTATCTCTTTAAAACTTTCCTTAATGAATATCTTGACCTGATCTCATTTGGATTAAAATATCCAGGGGAGAAGGGGTCCTATAATCCTAGGCAGTCCCTGATACACAGGCTAAGCAGGGCGTGGTGAGAGATGGAATAGAAGAAAACTCCCTGTGGGCTCACTTTGGACCTCCCTGCCTCCTGAGTGGTTTCCTGTTTGTGTAAGTGTTTTGTAGTTGAGGCCTTCATTATTGAGGACAGCGGCAAAACTAGGCTCTCCTTTACCTGAGAGATGACTCAAATCCTTTGTTGCATATTACTAAAATTTCTAATGTGTTTAAACAAAATGGGGAATTTATTATGAGAATACTGGGATGTCTTATGAATGAGACTGGGGCCTATAGAACATCTGGAGCCTAGGATTCAAATCACCATCAGGACTTTCTCCTGCATCCTCGTTTCTTCTCTCTGTGCATCAGCTTCATTATTCCCTCCTACTGCTGTCTTGATCTCTCTGCTTCTGTTTGCCAAAACTTCTGAGTTTACACATCCTCAGTTTCAGCCACCCTATGAGAAACTGCCTCGTCTGAGTTCCAGATTCAACATGCCAGGAAAAGATTATGATTGGCCCGGTCTAGGTAAGGTACCCCATCCTGAACCAGTCATTTGTGGCCAGGGTGGGTCACACTGCCCTAACATAGAAGATCCAATTGCAAACCTGTGGAAGAGCTGGGGGTGGGTGGTACTACTGGGAAGACAGTACAGTAGGTGTTCAGAAGAGCAGGAAAGACAGAGTATAAGGGAGAATCTGGACTCTTCTCTCCCTAAATCCAATTCACTTTGCAGAGGAAAACTACTTCCCAAGCTGATGAAAAACTAGTTCTGACATGCAGTCAAAGGGCATCTTAACCATCCTGTGATGGTGTGGCTATTTCTGTTCCTCTCTAAAGGTGCTGAGGAGGTCTTTATCCTAGCCCAGTGATACCAGCAGACAGTGCTTTCATTGCTGCCGTCTAGATCTTTGTTTTTGCAAGCAGCTGCTCTTGTGTGATATTTCTGTGGCTCGTTTGGGGCTTTGATGATAAAAACAAAACAAAACAAAATAAATTCTAGATCTTCCTTCCCCAGGGGCAGCCGAGGGCACAATTCCCAGCTATTTCTCCATATATCCATGAAAAGCGGTGCCAACTTTGAGAGCCTGTAAGATTCCCTTTCTCCCCTGGCAGGCGAGAGCCCTGGCTCAAGTGTTCCTCTTCGGCATTTGGAGGCACTCCTGATTCCAGCATTATGCTCAGTACCGGATATGAAGTACTGTCCTGAGAATTTCAGGACCAGGTGGTTTGGTCCCTAAATGGTCCTCTTTCCTAAATGTTTCTGAAGCCCTTTATGCTGCTATGTGATACTGGCTTGTTTCATTTCTTTGCACTGAGTTTACTAAGGTCAGGTGAGTTCTGTGACCCAGAGTAGAATGGTTCATTGCCCTCTGAGCAAGAAAGTTTATTTTTCTATTAAGTTAGGCAGATTTACCATTCTTTGCCTGATCCTTGGGTAGTCTTCCTTGGAAACACTCCAAAATTTCCTCTCCTTATATAATGAACTACGTAGAGATCAGCAAGGAGTGTTTATTTTGGAGACAGTAAAAATAAGACTCTTGTGTATAATTCCAAATATAGGCATATATTCTTTTGTAATTAGCTTCATTGTTCTCTGTCATTTTTTTGACAGTATTTACACTAAATTAGAAGTAGTAATAATGGGATATCCTAGTTCAATCCTACAACCATATCTGTCTACAATAAAATATTTGCTTTTAGTGACAGAAAGTATTTCAGAAGTGTTCATTAAAACAATTTGATAACTGTGTATCCATTATTAATAACCCAAGACGGGGATTACATGTTACGTGACTCGTAACCAATAAGGAGGCTGCCATTTCCATAATTATAAAGAATTCATATCACATCCATTTTACTATTCTGTATCATTTGACCCATTTATGGCTCATTCCGAAAGAGTAAGATTTAAAAATTTATAAAGTTTTTCAGATGAAAAATCTGCCAGGTAATTTCTCCCTTCCATTGCTGGCAGTAGATGCTCTCCATCTAAGAGGCTGAGTGTTTGGTTCCACAGCGCTCTCCTCTAACTACATAACAGTAAAGAGAGTTCAGGATCCCCTGAGTTATGGTGACCCCTCTCCCTCGGGAGAGAGCCTGGGCAGAGGGCGTACACCTGGGAAGCATTCTGAGGTGTAAATTGTGAAAAGAGAGTTGGGGAGGGTGATGTCAGTTGGCTACGTCTGGAATAAAATTAAGCTGTGGGGTGAAGGGTAGCCACTCAGTGTCCACGTGCTCTCTGTTCAGTGGTCCAGTCAAAGGTTCTGACCAGCCCATTTGGAGAAAAAGTTGAGCAAATGCTCTGCAGGGCTGGCTGAGTCATCAGCCCAGAAAGTTCCCCCAAAGGGTTGCGTACTAGTTGCTGCTACCACTGCTGCTATTATTCTAGAGTTCACTGTGGGCTGGAGGATGAGAAGGTGGGGTGCAGCCTGGGAGAGAGGAGAGCATAACTGGAAGGTTGGTAGAAGATGGATTTTTATCATCTAGGTTTTCTTTCTGGCACAGAAGAAGGAATCAGGCCTAGTGAATGATTCTTGGCCTGTTATTCTTCTCCTTCACCCCCACTCCAAATCTCAAATGCAGTTCACCTTGGAGTGTCTTATAATTAGGGTCAAGGAGATCCCGAGCTTATTGTTACACCTGAGAACCTGGGGCAGCGTTGTACCTAATGCACTGCAAATTAGTACCGAGAGACTAACTCCTTTCCTACGTGATCTGATTGCATCACCCTCTCTCTCTCTTTGGACAGGCATGTTGAACAGCAGTTGCTGAAGTGATTTTGATGAAATATGACCTTTGAAGACTGTGGCCACTGACCAAAGAATCTGAACTACAGTTTCCAACATTTTACAGGCTACAAAACGTAAGCTGGCCAGCATTTATTGCTTGTACTAACAGCTTGAGTCAAGTTTCCTAAGCCTACAGGGAAGACCTCTTACTGCTGCTAATTTTACTATCAGCAAAGAAAAGGGAAATAGGAAACCATATGGAATGGCTGAATGAGAGCATTTGTGAGAGCAGTATGAACTCGGATTATCCGAAGAGAGGGCAACTTTTTTCTAAAACTAAAAAGGACTCAATTTGCATAGAAATAAAGTGGGGAAAAAATGTAATGTAGAAAAAGTTATAAGCAGAGATTCTGCTCTGGCCTCTCAGGATGGCATTGATTTACATATTAAGGCAGTCACCAGGGAAATGTTAAAAACCCTCTAGGGAAATTTCCAATGTGATGGATAGAACTTTAATATTAATATAGGATTCATCATGATAATGTAAGTCATAGATCTAAGTCTCCCTTCATCAAATGAATAGTCCCTTTCCAGCCTATTATATAGGCAGCACATGCTTTAAATAGTGTCATGTGGGAGACTTGAAGTCTTTCTTTACCTGCAGTTTCTGAAGTTTTGTTCACAGGAATAGTGACCCACCGGGTCATCCATCTTTAATTACGTCATCTAGACCATTTGCATTTTCCCCTTTTTATTAATATTTAGTGTTCCTTAAAATATACTTCCATCGTACTTTTTTTCACAAATAGAAAAAGCATAATTCAACACATACTATTTCATACATGCAGTGACTATGAAGGGAAGATCTGATTCTTAATCTATTCGTTGATCATTATACAAGGAAAAAAGTGATTTCTGGGTTGCTATTTGATTTAGTTATCTAGTACATAATTATCAACCATATGCATGTGTATTGTTCATCTTACTCAGGGTTTCCTAGTCTTCTAACACTGACACCCCACAAAATGGTGGCTGAGTCTCTCTAGAATCCTATAAGACAATGACAATCTTTTTGGAGTGAGAATGATTGCAGTGTTGATACCAATATAATAAATGCCAGTAATAATAAATGTTAAGATTCATCTGCTGCTTTTTTCAGCAGAAATTCAAATATTCATTAGTGGAGCATATAATCACTTTTTCTTACTTTAGCCCAAAACACACATGAAAATAAATTCATAAGTACAGACTATGAATACAGACATAAATTGTGTACACAGACAAGTAGACCCTCAAGTTCTACAAGGAAGAGGGGGCTTTCCTTAAGCCTGGAATCACTGCACTATGTCTTTAAATTCGTGATGTGCATTGGTTTCATTCTATTCCATTTCTCCGCTCATGAAGTAACCAATGTCAACATTTGGCGTATCATTTCATGTATTTAGTTGGTATCCATTTTGGGGTGTAAAGGTTCTGAAAAGTCCTGCTGTAAAGAAAATTATTTAATGGGTAGACTCTAGCATTCCTAACTTTCTTTTGACCTAACTTTCTTTTGATCTTATTTTTCAAATAAGATCTATAAACACATTTGGAAATGCTAGCCTAGTGGAGGTGTTCATAAACTGGGCCTCCTCGATTTTTTGTTTTTTTTTTTTTTTGGCTGCGTTGGGTCTTCGTTGCTGCACGCGGGCTTTCTCTAGTTGCATCCAGTGGGGGGCTACTCTTCGTTGCACGTGCTTCTCATTAAGGTGGCTTCTCTTGTGGAGCACAGGCTCTAGGAGCGCGGGCTTCAGTAGCTGTGGCTTGCGGGCTCTAGAGCGCAGGCTCAGTAGTTGTGGTGTGCGGGCTTTGTTGCTCCGTGGCATGTGGGATTTTCCCAGGCCAGGGCTCAAACCCGTGTCCCCCCATTGACAGGCGGATTCTTAACCACTGCGCCACCAGGGAAGCCCACCTCCTGGATCGCGGGCTTCTCACTGCTGTGGCCTTTCCCGTTGTGGAGTACATGCTCCGGACGCGCTGGCTCGGCCATTGCTCACGGGCCCAGCTGCTCCACGGCATGTGGGATCTTTCCGGACCGGGGCACGAACCCGTGTCTCCTGCATCAGCAGGCGGACTCTCAACCACTGTGCCACCGGGGAAGCCCCACCTCCTCGATTTTTAAGCTTTGGTTTTCACTGGGAACTTTGAGATGAACTCCAATTCATCCTTTAAGTTCTGACTCAGATGTCACTTCCTCCGTGAAGATTTCTCCACTTGCCCTAGAATGAATATGTAATTCTTCCCTTCGCCCCCTACCCCCATAGCAATTTTTTCAAGTCCATATCAGTGTTTAGGTCATGAGTTATTTATTTTTAATTTCCCCCCTCTAGTCTACAATTTCCTTTATTTTAAGGAGTGTGTTTTTACTCTCAGTGTCCTACAGAACACCTGGCTCATTGTAAGAGTTCAACAAATAACTGCTGAAGGAATGAATGAGTAAGTAAAGCTTGGGAACTTAAGCAGAAAAATTATCTCTCTGGGGTGTTGGTATGTGATTAATGAATGAACCCTTCTGAGTTAAGTACTTTTTCCATTATAGTGACTAATTCCCATACAGTTGATTAGATTGAGATTGACTCTGATGTGAAATGGTTAATCATTTAGTCTGCCAAAAATACAAGATTGACTGTTATTTAGTCTGTTTTTTCCCCTTGTATAGACATGAGTCGTCTACTGTATATGAAAAATTCTAGTACCCATTCATAGCTGATATTTTTCTTATCTATATCACTATCAGTCCATAACTCAGAATTTTCTTTTATTTAACTGTTAAAGGGGAAAAAAATGACATTTATAGACCCTTTTACTTTTCCTCAAAAACCTAGCATTATAGATGAAAAGAATTGCAGATTAGGCTATATTATGCTTTTAGCCCTTTTATTTATAATATTTAAAACATTTTTCTGATATACTCTTTAAGTTTCAAGCTTATAAATTTTATTGTGGTTTAGGCATATTTTCCTCCCCTCCTTCCTTCCTTCATTCTTCCTTTCTTTCTTTTTTTTTCCATCTTTGAAAAGATAAAGATGGACTAGAATAAAGATAATAATCTCCCTCCCTGACTCTACCCTGCTCTAGTTCATTGCCAATGTTAACCCTTTGGTGTATCACTTCGTATATTTGGTTGGCATAAATTTTGGAGGGTGTAAGGACCTAGAAGGCTACACTTATAGCAGTCTTTTGTACACTACCCTGTTCTCTTCTGAAGATGTTTCACAAAGCCCCAACCTACTAAGGACATTAAGAGGAATGAATATGCCCAGGAAACTTAATTATGTTTCTGTCATAGATACTAGGCTGGCAAATTAGCTGCGGTTAAGAAGCTCACTGTGAAGTGTTGTCAGAATGTAAAAAAAGAGGCAGCACACCTGATTGGAAGAGGAGGAGGAAAAATAGAGTTAAGCCAGAAAGGTTGTTAGACACCTGCTCTCTCCCCACCTCCCCACTTAATGTTTTTAGCAATGAAGACTACTACTGCAGCTAAGTGACACTCATAGGTACTGTTGGCACCACGGGGAGGCCTAAAAGAAAAACAAAAGGGATGACCGTAGTTGGGGAGGGAAGGGAGGAGGAAGAAAGAGACAGAGGAAGAGGAGAGGGAGACCATGTGATGTAACGGGAAAAGCACTCAATTGAGTAAACTCTGGTTTCCCAGCTTCCCTGTAACCTTGTCAAGTTAGCTAGCTCAGAGTCTCTTCAGATGAAAAGTTTGTGGATTGCTGATGATCTCTAAGGGCTCTCTACCTCTAAAAGGTTACGTTGGTGATGTGAGATAAAGAATTTAAGAGAGCTGGAGAGAAGAAAAAGATATGCATGCACAGGATTGTTAAAGCCACCCAACTCGGGTGCACCTGAATTTGCTCAGGAGCAATTCCTGCTTTCTCAAATCTGGGGAACACCTGATTAGACCTAGAAGTTTCTGTTCATTAGCTGGGGTGGAGATGAATATCTAGCTTACAGAGAAAGGAGCTGTTTTATATATAACCCCTGCCAGGAAGCCAAAAGATGGTGGGAATAGATAGAGTCCTTGTTTATCATTTAAGTCTGGAACCTGCTGCTTCATCCCAGGAAACCAAGCATGGAAATAGTGATTAGATTTTCAAACCCTCATCTTTAGATGGGGTACTTTTGACAGGGCACAAGCTCCTTGGCTAAGTACCAGGGGTTCCTGGGAACCAATCCTCTGTAGCAGGGTTTAGACTCAAGACTATTTGAAGGCCAAAACAAAGAAATGAGTTTCACATTCTCACGCAACTGCTCTGATGTCTGAATTCCAAAGGCATTCCAGAAACAGAGCTCAGACTTGGTCCCTTGACCATCAGAGTTCTCCCTGTAGCCCATTTCAGGGTAAGCCTGGGGACAGTCAGCTGTGGAATGTTAGAAGGGTAGAATAAGTTTCCAGGGCTGTAGGCTGTTAGTTGATTCCCCAGAAAGCAGTCCTGTGAAGCCATTCTTATTTTTACACATGGCATATCTGAAAAAGGGATTATCTGGCAAATTGCAACATTTTTTGTTTTATGTGCCTCTGAAGGCAAGATGTGTTTTGTCCTCCATCAAGTCTTAAAAAATATTTATCCTGGCATCTTCCCATTTTTCTTTCCACATGGAAACTCCGATATTTTTAAGACTAGTTGTGAAATCATTCCTAGATATGCACATTACATGGAGATCTTAGAAAAACTTTTAAAGAAAATGAATATAAAGTGGTATTTCTTTTATGAAGCAGACGTTACAAACTATTCTTTTGTTGGGCTTTTCTTGATTAGCAAGATGTAATAAAATGACGTATATTCTCACCCTGTGGTAGGTACACTTTATCTAGTGGAACAGAATATTGAAAACAGCATGGAAGTTAAGAAAAAAATGAGAATTTGAAAAAATGTCCTCATGATAGCATCATGATAGCAATACTATGTTATGGTTAAATAAGGCACGAACAATAATTTTGTGTTAGGTATGTTTTTCAATTATGCATTTGACTTTGGTAATAAAAGACTCATGTTTTTCAATAATGTTTGGAATTTAAACATACTGTTCCTTTTTTCCAGTCTTCAGGAGAGCACTTACCAATGCAAAAGTTACCTCTTACCCATTCTTGTCCATTAAAAATTAAATGCTTTTACAGTAAATTATTAAAAGTGGTAGGTTGGCGGCAAATCATCAAAGGTACCATAAACCATTATGCAAGCGAGCAAGTGAGCAGTCTGATTAAATCTAAGGGATCAGAAGGCATTTACATCCCTCGATATCCATCGCAAATTCTCAACTGCAAAAGCAACCGTAAAATGCTACATTAAATTACTTTAAAAAACTCTTCCAGGATTTTCAACATTCAAGAGCAACTTGCTTTTTAATTAAGTATGAACTAAGAACTTCTACCGCAAAGTACAGATATACCACTATTTAAAGGTTATTTCCTCTTTCTTTAAAACTGCTGCAAAATTAGCCTCCTTTTTCCAACTGATATCACTCACTTAATGGAATTGAAGCATTGTAGCAGAGTTTGCCGAAAAGCTGGTTATTAATTAGGTGCTGTTTTCCCACCAAGTGTCTTTACTATCATTTAATTACATTGAAAAAGGAAATGATGGGCCCTGAATGTTGCAAAATCATGTTGAAAATGTTAGAAGTATTTAAATAAGATATGTTTAAAGAAAAAAACCCATAACTCATGGTTTTGGTTTAAATGAGGTAATATACATCAAATGTGAAATGCCTAGCATACTGCCTGGCACCTAGGAGCTACTCAATAAATGGGGGCTTTTCTTGTTGTTAACCCCATTTTTCATTTGAAAAACTCAGGCTTCACCAAGACTAACTTGTCCAGTGCCATCCAGATGGTGTGAACTGAGGCCTCTTTGATTCTGAGGCCTGTGCTCTTTTGTGTCCCAC